TTTAGGGTTTTAGGGTTTAGGTGAAGCAGCTCATCTTCTTTGTCAAGCGGGTAAGAGAGTATCCGGAGTTCATCATTGACCAAATCTTTTCGGCATCGTCTCTTCTTCAAGAGCCACTTCGGAAACCTGGGCAGGGAGATCCTAGATGTTAGATAGGGTATTAATTGACTGATTTATTTCGGGTAGGATGTTTCAAGATTACTTCAAGCTTCAATTTCAAACTCGTACTCCTAACCCTTAAGACACGGACCCTGACTAAACAAAAGTCGGTGCACAATAAGAATAGTTGGGCTGAACCCTATAATCCGAACTCACCCAGAAGCTGGCTCTTCACTTGTAATCAAAAGCTAACAGGATTGCAAGATGTCTCTGAAAAGTAATCATGAACCTTAGCCTTGGCCAGGATACGTTCTCTCCACACCGCTGGTGCTAAAGCCCCAACTTTGTGCACGCAACACAACAGCATGCAGAGCATCTACAGGTCGACCCGCTTTTGCGTCTTTCATGACCTGGGTTATTTCAATCAGTCTGATGAAGAAGTCTCCAACCTTTTTTCGGAGATTAGCTTGGATCAAAGGGCTTTGGGTTTAGGGTTTAAGGTTTAGTGTGTAAGGGTTTATGGTTTAAGGGTTTAGGGTTTTAGGGTTTAGGGTTCAAGGGTTTAGGGTTGAAGGGAGGGGTTTAGGGGCAAAGATTAAGACTACAGAAACCATCTCTCCTTGCCATATACAGTCACAGCCGTCGCCCAGCATTCCAGTGCAGGCTTCTTGGTCTGCGCTCGGATGCCAGCTGCAAGAGGCTTGACATCGAAGAGTTGCGTGGTCAATGTTTCCTAGGAAAGGTATTTGACACTGACCGAAGCCAAGAAATTCCTTCGGAAGGAACAAGTTGCATCAGAGAGTCTGCTGGCACATTCAACACATGTGCCATCCGATCAGCTGCTTCCTGGATGTCGCCAGGGTCTTCATCCAGCTGGAGCAGCGTGTTGATGCTGTTGAAACTTTCAAAGGACGGCAACTCGGCCCGGACAACCTCTTTCACTAGAGTCACCCATAGATGCATTCTCGCAGCAACTTTCCGTAGAAGTTGTTGCGTCAGCTGATCTTGGCCGCCGATTTTCCGAGTATGACCCGGGCCTTCAAAATGCAGAATAATCGGCTCCTTCTTGAGCAGTGTCCTCAAACGAAGGGTGGGGTGGGATGGGATGGCGCGGGGTTTGGGGCTTAGGGTTTACAGGGTTTCGGGTCCAGTTCGGGGTTTAAGGAAATAGGTGGTGTGGATGTGGGGTGGTGTGGGCTGTGGTGGGTGGGGTGTGGGGCGGGCGTCGGTAGGGTGGGGTGGGATGTTCTATTGCAAGCACTCAGCATTAACTACGGGATGTTGTTGCTGTCAGAATTGAATGCAAGCGAGATGCAGCAAGAAGTGTCCATACGTCCCTTTCGTTTGCCAGATGCGTCCATGGCTGAAGAGGAACGTGATTCGATGTAAGAACCTCAACTGATTGAAATTTGTCGAGGACTCGTCGATAAAAGAATTTCTTGTGACCGGGCTGCAGACCGTCCGAGCTCCTGTTGCATTTCCACACCATCAAGCTGATCAGTGTCAGCCATTCGCACAATAACCATGTGCTCATCATGAGCATCTGCCAGTGCTGCGAGTGTCCTCATAAGCGTGGGACGTGCATGATTCGATCATAGAAATAGAATCAGAAGCCTCAGAGACTAAAGCCAAGGCAGTGCCATCTCTGCATCACATCGATGGAGCAGACCTGCCATCGCCTGACCCTCTGCCTGCAAGAGCACCATTATTGTACGAATTAAACAGTGAAGACGGAGATTGATGGGGTCTGAATCCTTAATCAAGGTGCCTTTTGCCCTCTCTCCAATGCAATCTGCTCAGCCACAATCAATAATGCAGCGAAATGTCGCACGGAGCGACCAAGTGGTCGCCGAAGGCTTTCGTACCTGCCAGGCTAGTTAAGTTAGTTATGTTTCAAGGGGTTTAGGGTGTCGGGGTTTAGGGTTTTAGGGTTGAGCGCTCGGTTTCGAAGTTTAGTGTAACGATGAGAAACGTTGTTTTCAAGGAGCACATTCGTTGGCTGGATTTGTTTATGGGCTTGGGGTTTAAGGTGTAGGTCTGGATTGCAAAAGATGGGAAGCAGACCATACTGAAGCATCCGAAGCAGATTGGCCTGTGTTTCGCTGCACATAAAGAAGCCACAGAGCCACCATCCTTCTGCACCATGTTCTCGAAGCGTGCCTAGCAAAGAGAAGTCTGTAGGGATGAGTAGTTTTTGGGCTTTAGGGTTCAAGCACTTGAGGGACGTTAGGGTTTGGGGCTTTCCGGCTGATAGGTTTGTGGCTTCAGGGTTGCTTTTGTCGGAATTAGAAGGACCGTGGATTATCCAAAAGTCCTCTGTCTCAAGACCACCAGGATAAAGAAGACCCACTAATTTTAAATATCTAGATTCAAACATGGAAACCCCTAAACCCCAAACCCTGTTAACAGATGAACTCTAAGCCTATCTAAGCCGACTTCTTCTCAGACATGCACCCACCACAAGCAAGAAAGCCTTGAGAACCTTGGGTTTAGAATCCCTAGACTATTTGTTATTTCTATCTCTCTCTGTCTCTCAGTCTGTCTTTCTCAATCTTTAAGACAATCCTAAAATTCAATTGTGAAACGTGTAAGCATGAACCTCATTAACCTATCCAAACTTACGTCACAAAGCCTCCGAGGCTGGAATGTGGCATCAAGTCTGAGAGCGGATGCCTGGGTGACTTTGGTGCCAGTGCGGGTGCACATAATTTTCAGTCTCTTAGACTTGCAGTAAGAGACGAAGTCCGAAACAAATCACCCTAAAAATTGCGTAGAGCCCTCTTCGAAGAACCTCATGGCTTAAACCCCCCAACCCCAAACCTCGAGACTCTGAACCATATCCAATTTAAAGATCTTCCGAAACAACACCAAGCACCCAAGCCGAAAATACGAAGAGAAGCAGATATAAGGACCCCAAGAAAGTAGGTGTGCAAGCAAGTCCGCCCAGTCGTCATGCGTTGTGTTGTAAGGACTCGCAGCAGGATCCATAAGACAAGTTGTTGAAAGCGCCGCATGCAAACGCGAAATGCTTGTAAGACGGCCGAATGACGAATCGCAAACTTCATCCTCGTTATTGAAGAGATCTCTTCAGATCACCGCGACCGTGACATGCATCTAAGCATACGAGCTCTCCGGATGCCTTCAATGACCGGCTCGCTTTTCTAGTGAGCCTGAACTTCAGTCTTCCCCTACCGTTCATATCATATCAGATTCCTACAACCCTGCATGCATAAATGGAGTCGCCGCGATGCGGCCCTTTTGCCACGGTGACGGCAGGAACATCGCAGTGCCCATTAGTCTCTAATCATAATTCATTCGATAAGTCACGGGGATCAATCTAGTTTGATAACTGTCAGATTTCATGCGACGGTAGCTTAACAGACTTAAGCTGGATGCACCCACGCGCCCCAAAGAGTTGCAAGGTAGTATGAGGCAGCCCAGACATATGAGCACTGGAAAGAAAAGCCTGGCCGCAGCCCTTGACCTAAAACCTCAAACCCTTCCTAACAGTAAACCCCGTAAAAAAAAGAAGCCCTGGAAGCTCTCGCCCTAGCGAGCCTCTAGTCTCAAAGAACCAATGAGAAGGCGTTGATTGAAATCCGGAAAAGGCATCATTTCAACCTTGAAAGCAAAGCTTGACCCGAGCCTGTGCCATGACCCTGAAGTCTTCAATTTCAAACCCTTGAGTGTAATTCACCCTAATCCCACAAGGCTTAAACCCTAAACCCTAAACCCTAAATAAACCCTAAACCCTAACTTAGTCCAGGGTATTCCATAGAATCCATAGAAGTTGGAAGCATGTCAGCGGGACCAGCAAATATTCGGTCTTGAGTCTTAGCTTGCATCCTGAATGATTGTGACTCGATGGTTGAATGTCTTTAGATCCTATACTCTTGGTTAAGGTAAGTTTGCAAAGCGGTTGATTCTGATCTCGCACGAAGGGTTTAGGGTTTTGAAACTTTGGATCTTTGATTGATTTCTGGGATCTTAGGCTCGGGGATTAGAACCTTAGGGGTCAAGGCTTTTGGCCTGTTATGTTTGGGGAGTCATATTTATTGATGCAGGGTCGGGTTCGTCGTTACTATTTCCAACTGAGTTCGGATCAGCTGATCTGAATCTGAAGCTCACAATGAAACCCTTCAGGAGCCTTAGCCTTAGACTTCCATTTTAGATGTGGGCAAACACAAATTTCATCCGGGGGCTGAGCATCAGCAATGACTGAAAGCCCTGTGTAAGATCCTATCACTAACGTCTATCCTCCCGATATTGCAAACCCTTAAATCCTAAACCCTTAAATACCCCTAAACCCCTAAACCCTGAATCAAAGCCCTGTGTTATAATTATCTATCCCATTTAGATTTAAACCCTAAACCCCTAAACCTTAAACCCTCAACCCATGACGAACTCAGAGCTAAATCTAGCCAACCCGCACGTGTAGGACTGCCGAAGAAAGGGCCTTGAAGACGGTGCTGTAGTGGATGAGCTGGCATGGAGATTTCTTTGAATGGACGAAAAGATCCATCCTGAGATTGGGATTCTTTGTAGGCATATCAGAGGATGATTTTGGGAGTGCAAACCAATATATATTATTTGAGGCGAGGAGCACTTGCTTCAAGTAAGGGTCTGCAAAAGTTGTTCGGCTTGCAACACGTCTCATGCAATGGGCAAGGTCCCGACTCACAATCTTCAATCCTGAGAACTTCTCGCCTCCGAACATCAGATTTAATGCCAGCTGCTCATCACTGGCACCATCGGCCGTCATGGCCTCCACCTTGGGGAGGAAGCGCGGCACGAACTTCGTGAAGCCACATCTTCTCTTCAGAGAAAACGGAAATTTCTCAGCAGGCTCAGCCAACTCAGTAATGAGTGTTTCGGTAGCCTTGCGTATCGCAAGGGCATGGAGGTGCTCAATTTCCTGGGGCAGGTGATAAGCGCCAATAAAACCATTGCGGTCTTTGAGCTGATCAGAAGCACTCCCATACCGAAGAACCAGCCATCCTTTGGAAACGTCCTGTTGAAGGCTGATGGACTTGGCCTCATCCCTTATTTTATTGGCGGCAAGCATCTTCATTAAGGCTTACAACAATCTGAGAACGGAGCCTTTATAGCCAAGAAGCAACCAAACAAGAGTCAGCTTTCTCGCTGCCTCGCCCAAGCATGCCAAGATGCATCTTTTTTTGAATCGTCCAAATGCCTCAAATAGTGCAGTATGCATTGGTACGACTCTCAAACGGTGGTCAACCAATGCCAAATATTCCTTTGAGAGCAGTCACATCCTTCTCAACATCTGCAGAATAGTCTTGGACACGCAATTTCGCGATGATCTGTCGAAAAGTAGCCGCTGAAGGAACCTCAGCTGTGCAATCATGCCGTAAACCCCACCAACTTTGGACTAGTGTGATGAATCATATACAATGCAGCTGCTGCTTCACTCCTCAAACTCTCCACGATCACCAGTCAACAATCAAGACTCCACGATCAAGGCAGCATGACATACAACATCAAAATGGCCTCCCATGACTTGTGATACGATGCCGCTTGCATGAGAAGGACTCCCACAAAAGAAGACTGCTACAGGCTCCCAGCAGGCACATAGCCCATTGTCCTGCTGTCATCCACCTCGAGCTAAGGTGGGTTGGCCTCAAGAGCCTGTGCAAGCACGGCATGATCACGCCCCGAGTCCGGCCAACGACCCGTGCAGGAAGAGACAATAAAGCTCGTATCTACCGTCTGCTTGGTGGGGCTAAAGCTCACCGTTACCGGCAGCTCAAAAACAAGCTTGATTTCGAATGTGCAGCCACCCGGATGATATCGACACTATGATAATGGCTGCAGTTGAGATGCGAGTCGGCCATTGAAAATTGTCCAGGAGTCTGATTCTGAATCAGTCCCCTGCTGCACGGCCATCCTGTGAGCAAAGCTGTTCTGGTGCCGAGCCAACCAGCTTCGATCAGGGATCGCCTGAGATAAACAATATCTCAAGGCTCGATTCTGCAGGGTTGTCAATTGCATGATGTCTTGATCGAGGCTGCTGCTGTCAGGCGGCCTTCGTTGCACATGCCTTGTTCAGAGACCATGCATTCTTCAGTCCGGCTGCTGAGCACTGGCTGCAGCCTAGACCATCCTTCTTCACGACAACCCAAGGAAACTCCCGCACCCAGGACGAACTTCTTCGGCACAACTCTTCTTGCCATTGCCCTCTTCTGCCGCTCAACAGCGGCAGTTTCATTAGCTTAATTTTCATAAGCCCAACTGATCCGAGTGTGAATTTGCTTTTGACATTTCGCGATTTGTGGGTGTCATCTGTGCACAGGGACCATGATGAGTTTCTTAAACAACTGCTTAAGACCATGATATGGATGTGCAGCACTGGCAGCTGCGGACGATTAGCATGGTATGTTCCTGTGCTGCATCAATTGATGCGGCAGTGCCGCGCACCTCAGTGTGCCACAACATTCGAAAGCATCCTAAGATAACCCATCTCAAAACCCAACCGCCCGACCCTTAACAACACCCCAGTAGTAGTAGTAGCAGAAGTAGCA